ATGCAAGTTGTAGGGGTGTGTGGCCTTCACAGTTCTTGAAATGACCTAAAAACGGCACATTCATCAAAACCAGACTCTAATGTAAGAAGTCCACCCAGCGGTCACAATTTATGCAGCTTGAAATAATTGGCTTTTCTGCCTTTTCAATGTTATTAACACTGTGGTTTAATATCACAGCACAGTATTTTATTTGTGGATGAAGCAGAGAAAAGAAAATATTAAGTTGACTTTTTAAAAGAACATTTACCAGATTTAAAAAAATGTTCCTCCGAAAGAGAAAAAGTTTATAGTTTTCTTATCTCATCCCCAACTTACAAAGTGCATCCTGCATAAAATTCTTAAGCTAGGAAGGAAGTCAGTATCCTTGCAACTTGTTTGGAAAAAATTAAAATGTTCAAAATATACACACAAATGAGTGAGAATGATAACTAACAAAATAATAGCAACCATGGCGAAGATTGGCTGATTCTCTGTTCATCCAGTAACGTTTAACAGTGATACTGAGTTTAACAATTCAAGATGGAATAAATAAAATTGATCACCATAAAAGCTAGAGTCAAAAAACAAACAAATAAAAAACAGTCAGAGTCAATATTGCTGTTGGCAGGTAGAAATGCATAATCTCAAAATCTGGGACAGCTGTCATGATTAATGGCTTCCCCACTTGTACACGCCCATCTGAGGCTTGATGTGGCAGCATGGTGTAGCTGCTGGACAGGAACGAGCACCATTAAATTCAAAGACAGTGACCCCAATATTTACATGGATTCTCACTATCAAAACAACAACAACAACAACAACAACAACAACAACAACAACAACAACAACCCATTTATAGCACTAAGGCAAGGTGAACGAGACAGACATAGCTCCCCTCTTTCTGGCAGTGGAATTTTGCCCCTCCCATTTTTACTACTGGGTGCTTTCTCTGATATTGGTAGGACTCAGTGGGGAATGCTGTGTCTGAGGATTGCCTATGCTGACTTGACTCTGATTCTCTGCAGCCCAACTGAAGAGGGCCTTGATTAAGCAGAAACGGTATCTCACAAGCTTTGCCCTCATCGGTGATGAACTTGATGCATCGGAGCTGCAAACTTCATCTACACTGCATTTTCTATAGCAACCAAAAATACCCGATGCCAACCTCACATGGTTTGGGGGAGCTAAGCTTGACTGACTCATTCTAGCTTTGGCTCCAGAAACAACTGGCTAAACCTAGGTAATTCTGTCTATGTGTCATTTCCCACACACAAATTAGATATTCAACTTCTCCAGAGAATATTCTCCTCCCTAAAGCCTTTATGATAACTAAACAGTGAAGACATATACAAAAAATAGGTGGGTAATGGCAACACCTTTATCAACATACTAATTTTACTTATTAAGCAAATAAATACCCTTATCCTGTATGTTCAAGGTGAAGAGTTAGGTTATGTGCAAGACTGTTTTAAAATGAATCTGTCACGAATTCTACTTTAGTCAGTTTACAAGCTTTTATTGGTTTGCTTTGTTTTTTGGGGGGGAGGGAGGGAGGTGTTATTTTCTTTAATTTTGGTCTGCATCTTTTGCTTTCTTTTCTTAATTTTTTTAAATTATGGTTCTGGGATTGAACAAGGGGCCTCATCTACGCTAGGCAAGTGATCTACCATTGAGCTATACTCCCAACACAATTAACACCATTTTACAGGTTCTACTTGTTTTATGCCTGGAGGGTGGAGAACTTAGCTAGAAATTTAAGCAGAGTCCCTTCTTTCTAGGGCACCTCCTTCTAGAATACACACCCCCTGAACACACATCCCAGTAACTCAGAATCTCCTCTTCTATTCACTAGCCCTTAAACTCATGGGAAATAAAGAGAACGGGAAGAGAGCTAAACAGCAAAGTAGATGTACACTCTAGGACTTAAGGAACTTCCTGCCAAATGTCTTAGTGACCATCTACAGAGAATGGCCCTGCAGTTCTGGGTTATTTCTGACCGCATTCCTTCCGCCCCAGGACTCCAGCTTGGGAACCTTGAATAGTGTCTGGTGTTCGTGGCAAGCCTTACGTGAAGAACCTTTGGACTCTTCCTGTGAACGAGGCATTGTACTGCCCCTACCCATGCTCTCATTTCAATATTCATGTAGTGGGTTCCTTTCAGTATTTCTAGTATGCTTACAAGAAAATTAAGTTTACAGAAGAAGCTCATTTACTCACCCAGCTCCTATTTAATTTGAACACAGGTCTGTCTGGCTCCAGAGGCAGTTTTACCCATTAGATTATATCAATTTTGAGTTTCAGAAATGTTGGTATTTTATTTCTGGGCTCCAGATAATTCCTTAAAAATTTTCCATCTACTGCTCTAATTGTACAAAGATTTGTGTTTTCTCACAGTCAAGTCTTAAGGGAAGAGGAGTAAAGAAAGCAGAATTCTACAGAACCCAGCAGCCTGGCTGCAGAGGGCAAAGGCAGCTGCATCCACTTTAGGTAGAGTTGCATGGCCTAGCTGATGGTTGGAGATGAAGCAGCAAGTTACCATTTGGCCGTTCAGTCTCTACGATTTACTCGGGAAACAGCATTTGCTTCCCATTACCTTCCTCAAGAGCGATGAGAAAAAGATTGTTTTCCCTAGTGTGTGTGTGTGTGTGTGTGTGTGTGTGTGTGTGTGTGTGTGTGTATTTATATCGAAGGAACAGTGTGTTCTCACTTCATCCGAAGAACGGATTTTTGTCACGCCATCACACAGAAAGATTCCAAAACTTCACAGAGCTTAGCTGATACACCTAGGAGAGTTTTTTCTTTCAAAATGAAACCAGATACCATTCAGAAACTCATGTTCATGCTCGTAGTCCGGGGCAATGACGAAGGACTTAACAATCAATCAAGGCAGTACTGAGAACAGGCTACCTAGTGCGTGTGAATACCTTGCCCTAAGATCTTCATTACTCCCTTTGTGATTCTGTGTCTTTAACAAAGAAAATGTGGTATTTTTCTTCCAGTAAGGTCACCTGAGACAGACAAAGGGTCGATGGAAGAAAGGAGCGGGCTGACCTTTTCCAGCAGAGAGGTCTAAGACACAAGGGCTTCTTCTTTAACGAAAATACACCGGAGCTTGGAAGGTGCACAGTTTTTATGTTATCTCTTGGATACAAACTCTCCCTCTCTTTGAACTCACACTCACAGATACTTGAGGTAGCACCAAGTCATCCTGGTTAAAAGTGGACTTGGCCAGTAACACCATGCCTTTGGCCAAAACCCTGGGTGAGTCGTGGGATGATTTTTGGCCGGGAAATGCACAATATCGGTATTGCAGGCAGCTCCAGAGAGGTATGCCAGGCCTCTCCCGGCTCGGTTTATATTTGCATGTGAACAGCTTGCTGGCCATTTTATGAAGGCAGATGCATCGCAGACCTGCTGGAGGGGTATCCAGACCTAAATATGTGAGCTACACACCCTACAGCTTATCAGTTTTTTAAGATAAAAATAAAGTCATCTCTGGACACATCTTCAGGAAGATGGGCACAAATGTATTTTATGAAAAATGGGACATTTAAGGCCTCACCAGCCAGGCCAAAAATAAAGAAACAAGTCTATAAATATTGCTGCATAGATTGCCAACAAAAGACAATATGCAGCTGTTTGACACTAAAAAAAACTCTTCAGAGGTCTCTCCTTTTTTATTTTATTTTATTTATTTAGTTATTGTTTTTTAACTGCGTCTTGGCAGGGGCAGGAAGAGGAACCTTTGATGAAGTAAAAAATCACCAGAATGAGGCTAGAGAATCATCAGTTCACATTTAAGGTCACAGTGGAGAATTGTAACAGAGTTTCCAGGATGGACGAACTAGAAAGTGTTCTGAACAATTAGTGATAGGATTTCTAATGTTAAGGTGAACCCTCCATCACAGCATACCAAATACTTCAGTTTGCCTATCCTTTTCAGATAATCAACTGGAGATCAAAATGGGAAAAAAATGAAGAGGAGAAGAAGGAAGAGGAGAAGAATTCTTATTCAGGAAGCAGGAGATGGTAAACAAAGAATGATAGCATTAAATGGGCAAGAAAAATGGAAGAAAAGTCCTGAACTATTATTAGCATTTTTATTTGTTTAATATAATGTCACTGAAAAGACTGCAGTAAGTATGTTAAGGATATTACTTTACTTAATTTTTCACTAGGGTGATACTTATTCTGGATAACTAAATGAATACCATGAGAGATTAAGTAATCATTTTAATATTACAGACATTAGTCTCATACTTGAGGCATTTAAAAGTTACCTATATTTTGACCTATGATAGACTGCTAGTGTATAGGTCCCATTTTATTAAATGAGTGGTTTTTTCAATTCAATATGCCAATCTATGACTATGTTTCTCATCCTTGCAGTGTGTATCACAAAGTTTGAACAATTCACACAATATTATTATATGTAAAATATGATTTCTATCTTAGAAAGGTCTCTGCAGCAGTAACTTCATGTGGACTCTGAGATGAAGCTCAGCACCAGACGACCTGCCTAGCGTGCAGGGACTATGGGTTCAAGCCGCAGTCCTGACATCAGGGGAAGAGAGAAGGGAAGGACAGTGAGTGATAAGATTGCTCTGTTTACACAACTGAGGGATTTCATGTTCTCTTACTGTTTTATTTTAGAGAATTTAAAGCGAAAAATCTTTCAAAGATATGGCGCTTTTGTAAGGCCGTTTGCAAAGGGCTAAGATCTAAATGATCCTGAAGACTAATTGCCCTTCCATGATCTTCAATAAACACCTTTGGACACTTCTCATTTTGAAGAGAACTGTTCCAAAATGTCCTGAGAAGTTCATGGTACTCCTTACACGCTGTCTTAGCAAGTGCCTTGGCAAATTCAGCCCTCCTGGATTGTCTAGAAAATTAAATATCCTACTGAGGCGCCTTGCAGAGAAAGACTGGGTTTGGGGCCGAGGCTGCTGGGATGCCTAGGGCAGCTGCTGGCTCCTGGGGACTCTGATACAGCAGCCAGAGTCCCATGCTAAACTTACCATTTTCTGGCTGGTCCTTAATGTCAGCATCACTTGGCTGGCTGGGACTTTCAGATTGACTTGAATCTGAAAAACATAAAAAATACAGCCAAAATTACAGGATCTGCGAGAGAAAGTGGATCAGAGGTGCCAGACTTTCTCGAAAGGTTCAGCCTAGAAACCAAGAGTGAGGATGTCAGGAAAATGACGCGATGAATGAAAAGACGGTAAAGGAAACGCGGGAGGGGGCAGGTGCATGAGCCTTCAGCCCAAACACCCAGTAGTTCCTTTGTGCTAGATCAGTAATTGAAGCTCTTCAGAACCATTCTCCAAAGGAACGGTGGTTCCCAACTCCCTTCCTCGTTACTTATGTGAAGCCTCTGGTAATGGCTTCATCCTCCATCACACACCTCTGAAGCTTGATCCTGGCCATCATAAAGGGCATATTTTGAAGCTGGTACTGGAAAGCCCAGACAGCAGCACAGACTGCAGACTCCTGCCACTCAATTCCAAAGGTCTTGAGTGTGCTGGAAGTAACCAGTACCAGACAGTGCTTCCCGAGGCTCAAGCTTCCCCCACAGCAAATGCTTTCCTGCAGTGGTAGACATCTACCTGGGAACCCCAGCAGGGTCTGCTAACAAAGGCAGGATCTGCTAAACCTTTGCAAAATTTAATTAGTTCTTCTTTTAAAAATCATAATTTTTGAACTTAATTTTTTTTCATTAAGTTAACTTCTAAGTAAGATAGGTTAAAATAACATTTTTTTTCCTTCGAATGAGACAAAATGAACTTTCAAAAGAACTCCACAGAATTAGAAGCAAGAGTAGTTAGTGATATGTTTGGGAGAAAAGAGGGAAATCGAGGTGCACATCTCTAAGGGAATAAAGCATTTTCAGACGAGTAGGCCAACAGACACAAATAATGATTTGAAGTAAATATATTAAAAACCTCTATATCTGTGGAAAGGAGGGACCCTAACTTTACTTTGATGCCACAGCTTTACAATCAGCTATCTTTAATCTCACTATGTTTCAGCAAGAAGCCAATACTCAATCAAGAGTTACAGCACGTAACCATGGCCAAACCGGAAGTGTCATGGCATTGGGACCTAGTCACAGCATCCTTTCTCTTTCCTGGAGAAACTGCACCAAGAAGTGGGACCCCTCTAGAAATGCTAACCTGTGGTGTTGAAGGGTTCCCCACTTTCAGGCAACAAGTATCTTCATTGTAAGAGAGTGCCAGAAGGGCTATCTCTACTTTAGAAGTCTCAGACAATACTGACCTGATTAATACGACAAAAAATTCCATTGGGTCAAAAATGAAAAGAACAGAAGTGATAAAAAGGTTGATTTAAAAAATTTAAATCTAGCTTAAGAGCTTTTATATATCATAGCAATTGCCATTTGTCATTTGTTACGATAGACAAAACCAGAAATCACAATGTATCAAAAGTCAGTAGAGGAAGCCTTTCAGAGTAAACTGCAAAGATAGATATCAAGCCTGACCCTAAGGTTGGAAATTCAGGTAAACTTATAGTGAGATCATATTTGAAATCCTAATGACAGAAACTAGTATAATAGACAGTGTAAAAGATAACTAATTACTTTTTTATTTTTCTAAGATCCTATCACTTTTTTCATTAAAAGGTAAGCATTTCAAAACTATTCAAGTGAGTTTCAAATGAGTCATACCATCATCACTTTTATTTTAGAAAAATCTCAAACCATCAGTTACATAAAATTAAAGCAAAGTATCTAAATTTATTTTAGGGAAATTTCTTTTGATCATACACAAAACACACAGATAAAATTTTACCAAACATGACATCTTCACTAAAATCACACAAACAAATATAATTCTCTTCTTGATAGCTTAGCTAAAGTTGTGCTTGTAGCTATGATATCTTCATAACTAAATGCTTCTCCACAAATCAGTGGAAAACATCTTTTCTGTCAATTAATTTAGATGCACAGTAGACAAAGGGACTAAATTATTTTTTATATTAAAGAAAATAGAGATAATGAGCCCCAAACATTTTTAATCTGATAGTAAATATCTTTATGTTCACTTTTTGTTTAAAACACGTGTTTCCTCACCCCACCTTTAGAGAAACAGTCAACACGAGCAACGCGAGCTGCATATGAGGTATGTTCGAAGCTAGTTTAAAATTCCAAGCCACAGAAAAGCAAGCAGACGAGCGTCAAAGAGCTGAGTTGGGCACGGAAATGCTCAGGCTCCCTCTATAAGGGTCCCAGCACTGCCCTGAATACTGAGACACAAACCCTGGGAGAAGCGGCTAGCCAAACTGGGATCCGAGCGTGAAGTCTCAGTTTTATTCAAAACCCGGAGAACGTTACCACCCGAGGTCATCAAGCTAAACTATTCTATCCCAGGAAGGCTCAAGCCGAGCCAAGGCTCCACATGAAAACCTGAGTGCCCTAAATCTTTCGATAATTATTCTCTACCCGTCCCTGCTGCTGTTCCACGAGGAGAAGACACAGCCCCTTTCTCGAACGTAAAAGGTCACAGATGCTGTTAAGTACGGAGCCAACCTTATGACCAGAATTACAAATTAATTTCTCCCCATGCACAACTGATACAAATGAAAGACCTCTTAAGCATTTGCGTCGAAATAATACCAAAATACTTATTTTACCTTTCTGTTTTATACACTTTTTAGAGAAGTGGGACCAGACTTCTTTCTGTTTGGGGCACTTATTGTGTGGTGGCTCGATTTCTGATGACTTGAAATAGTTAGAAACCCTCAAAACAAATTCACTTGCACAGAGTGAGATGGTTTGCTCACACAGGGAGCCCCCCAATCCTCATGCACCAGATCGGTGACTTTCCTTAATGGTTCCCTGGTTAAAACCCAAAGGATTTGCATTTTACAATAAATATGACTTAAATTTTACAAAGACTATTACTTAAAGGGGTATCGAAGTGATGGGGTTGGAACGCTGTTGCAGGAGAGTAAGAGTTACTTATTTCTCTTCGCAGCTGTGGATCTGCTTGTTTTTGTTGTTTGTTTAATGAACCTTAAACATTAATCTAACCTTGAAAAGTGATACTTCCTTTGCTTTTAAACAATTTATGAGCATACGTTTAAGACTACAATAGACAGGGTTTGCATATTGAAAGCTAGGTTAAGCCCTCTGAAGTGAACTGGTAGCCATCTTTCTGTGAGTTTTTGTGGCTTCTACAGCTATATTGCTGCAGTACTCAAAGATAGTCCACTATCAATATAATTGGCAGAGAAAGAATAAAATAAGTCCTAATGCCGACATATTGATCTCTGCTCCTATAACTTGTCTTGAGTTTGTAACTTACATACATAGCCAATCCCTACAAACTTAAGTCTCATCCCTTAGTGGAGTGCAAAGGATGACAAAAGCATTAATGTGTAAAGCGAGGAGGGAAGGATATAGGTGTCACATCCCTATATTTTATATTAATTAAGCTTCTTGAAAAGATGGCATATTGCCAGGCTTCCCTGTCCTTGACCTAGAATTAATCCCTTTCCCTCTGATCAGTCTTTCACTATGCACACATCTCTCTTGGTACAGCTGATGGAAGCTGTGTGGTGGAGACTCACGCTCCTGCAGAGAGTCACTTCCTCTCCTGTTTCCGGGCCCTTTGATGGGCTGCCTGGCCCAGGGCACAGAGGTCTGTGACTGTTCAAGATAGGAACTCCCAGCTCTTGTTCAGCTCCTTAAGACTGGACAGCTGCCAGTGACAGCATGTCCCTGAAAAGTATATGGTGACCCATAAAGGGAGTGGGATTCAGAAACTGACAACAAAGGGCAGGATGATCATTGTCTCTACTGTGGATCCCACTTGTTGGGGGCTGGTAAGGGGAGGCGAGGCACACCCCTCTGACATGGGGTTCTCTGAAAACTGCATAATGGAAGTAGACTAGAGACATGCACCTTGGTGACCTGCTAGCACAGAACACAGGCTGAGCTGGAGACACCCTCTGACACCCAGAAGGCCCTAAGTGTATACAGGCTATAAAAGCTCACCACTGGCAGGAACATTTCACATACTCAGAAGTCCAAGGGGAGAAAAGCCGTGTATTCTCCAATGGCCGCAGAGTATCTTGAAGGCCTTAAGATTGCTACCGAGAACTGAGCACAGCAGAGCAGGTCTCCCTTCCCTAAGTGTCCCAGCAGAATTCCCACTCAGCCAGGGCAACACTCACACAAGTCTATGAACCATGAAAGCACAAATCTTGGTCTCTAGAAAAAAAACAATTCAGTCTAAGTTTCATGCTATCAACACACAGGAATTTGCCTAAGGCTGAGCCTGCAAAGCCTTTGCTAGAATTTGTTCTCTAGTTCTTAATTTCCCAAACTGAAAAACAGTAAGGAGACATGAGAAGGCATCCACACACACACACAAAACCATGAGCCAGTCCAGTGAAAGAAGGTAAAATTTTGTACCAAAGAATCAGAGTTCTCTATCACCTAAATAAAAGAGACTCAACGAGCAGAATGGATACTGTCCTGAAAGTAAGTGAAGGGTTGGGGGAATTCCCAGGGTGAAAGAAAGGAGATGAGAGCTTGCTTGGACTGTAATCAACAAAGGCTTTCTGCAATCGTAGCCAATAACAACTTTAAAACTTTGGGAAGTTTCTGTCTTTCTTTATGGTGTGAGGTGAGTCCTTTGTAATAGACTCAGGGTAAATAATTCACCTTCTCTATCTGCATAGTTAGAATAGGAAAAAGACCTGTCTCTAACAGCACAAGATCAAAACTTACCGTGCTTTGATCTATTCCCACATACTCACAGTAAGGGAATCTAGAAGATGAAGCGGTTATGACAGTCACGATTTGCTTATTGGGTCTCACGGGGGCTATTATTAAAGAAATCATTGTTGGAACACTATATTTAGAAATTGTGTCAGAGAGAGAGAGAGAGAGAGAGAGAGAGAGAGAGAGAGAGAGAGAGA